ACGGAAAAGCGGGCCGCACCCCGCGGTAAGGGTCCTCATTTTGAAAACATGTCCGCAACAATGAGGCCATTATGACGATCGGAGCCGGTCGTATTCATGCCGGCGCACTCTGTCTCTCTTCTTCTTCTTTTTCTTCTTCTACTACTACTACTATTACTTCTACTTCCACTTCTCTCGCCGCGTCGTGGTCTCTTCCGCCACTACCTGACGGTCAGTTGTTGTGAAGTGACCCTCGTCATGTCGTCCATGGCGTCTCAATACGCGTCGACGAGCGCGCGAGAGAAGGGGGATCACTCTCTCTCTCTTCTCTATCGTCGAGCGATTTCACCGGCAAAATAGACGCCGTCGTTTACGATGACGCACACACGACTTTCCGCATTGTGCCGAACGCGGCGTTTATAGCGAAACGCGAGAGTAGCCGACCACGATAGACGACGACGACTACTCATCGGAAGGCTTCGCAGGTTAAGGGAAGCCCCGGTCTGTATCGGTCGATCCCATAAATTAGTTCGAGAGAGCGTATCATTGACACCGTGAAGTCCACGGAAGACTTCATCGTGCTTTCCTTACCTATTCTTCGCTCCTCTGCCTCGTCTCGCGGCGTGTATCCACCGCCTATTGAGGGCTCCTTTTCACGCTACAATTGAAACTGTAGAGTGGAAGTCAAATGCCGGCTAAGTGCCGTAAACATGGCGCTTTGAGTTTTGCGTTCACGGAAACACCGTTCATCGAGCTTGAAAGAATCAGTTCTCGCGAAAGGCGAAAGAAAGTTTCGGCCGACAAGTACCAATACCTCGTTATCCTCACGTCGATTTAATTTCATTACAAACGAGTTATCGTTTCGAACGTTACGATCAACGGACCTCCCAAACGAACCTCGAATTGTACGACAAAACGTCACTTGGACGTGACCAAATGGACATTCCATTTCATCGTCCTCTTCGGCGATTATCCTCGGCAGTGGTGAAACACCTTGTCGAAACGCGGGCATCATCCCTCGACGCGCCTTTCTGCGCCCCGAAGTTGAGGAGTCCGAAATCGTTCGGAGGGTGTTCCGCTTCGCTCATTCATCCTCCCGGAAGCGCATCTCCGCGGAGACGATCGCCATCCACGACGACGTTCTCCGGTGAACCCGGCTTTAACCGCCAGCCGTGAACGTTTGTCGTCGCGCTTTGGAGTGCGCGCTGTATCCCGACCGCCGCTTGTTCTCGGCAACTCGGCAACTTGTGCGGAACTCTCGTTACAACGATGCACAATGACCCGCGACAATGGTCGCGGCGAAGCTCCTGGAGATGCGGCTTTTCACGCAGAGCGACATCTAATTGATTCGTATCATCGTCGATGTACAAATCGTTACATTCGAATAGACAGCGAAAACGTCCACATTTCGAACAACTTTAATTACAATGACCGAGAAACGCTAGATGGTACGAAAATTTTGACACGATTCTTCGGTAACTTAAGAAAAGAAAGGGTAGAAAGAGAGGAAAGAATAACGAAGCAACGAACCGTTCGAGAATATCAAGATCGAATCAAAACAGAATCGCGAATACTTTATTCCGATGTGAGAAATGGAAACAGGGGGAGAGCGAGTCTCTCGCGCGCGCAAGAAACCGGGAACCTCCGGCGAGCCTCTGCTCGTCGTAATTGATTACGTCACTACTGCGAGAGGAGGGACCACCGCGAAGAACGGCGGTGGTGCAGGGAAGCAGAGGCGGATATAAGTCGGATAGGGAGAAGGAGAAGGAGGAAGAAGAAGTCGGACGGATGATGAATGTGCTGTCTGAGCCGTCGCGTCAGCGAGGCTCTGTTGCCCGTTTGTAAACGAGCTTCCCATTTTTTCGCGGCTACACACGCGCGCTCTGCCAAAAGAGTATCAAACTGTCGGCACACATCCGAAAACACTTGGCTCATCGATCCTCGATTATCGATCCACCGGCCACTCGCGGATTAAGGGACTCAGAAGATCCTCCAACGGGAAATTGCACTCTAAAAGCAGAATTGTCTAATCTCTATTAGCAAAACTGTCGCAACAACGTCGAGATCTCCGCGATAGTAATCACCGTACACAGGATGCCCCGGGATAATCACATGCGGGAGTTTCCTGGTACAAAGCAAAGCAGCTCTTCGTTTATCAAAATCCCAATAGCGCATCTTTCTATTTTTCAGATCTGACACTTGCGTCATTCGGTGGGTTCGCCTTGGTCACCGCTATCGGAGCGGCATCGTATCTAGGCGTTGATAGGTGAGAAGCTGCTTGCTGAAAAACAGCTGTGTGTGTTGTATTATAATGAGTCGATAGGGCCTCTCTCATCGTCGCCGGCGTAGTACCTGCATTGCGTCACCACGTTCATTAGCGCAGAGAGCGTGCGCGCGCGCGAGTCCTTGATGACATTGTTGTCGCGTGGACTCTGCAACGTGTTAAAATAACGCGATACACATCCCAAGGCCGTCTACGCCCACCTTTTCGCGTCTAACCTACGCGCTAGGCCTACGCGACAATACTACAGGAACGTCGTTTGTTACTTCAACGAGAGGAGAAAAAGAGACGAGCGTCGGCGTCGCGAGTCTCTTTTTAATCAAAACCTTGGCATTTCGTAGCGTAGCGAGCGAAAGCGCGCGGGTCGTGAAAATCATCCCTCTTGAAACGTCCCCATCCGCCAACAATCGTCGCGATTTGTTGCAACTTACACATACGGAGAATCACGGGGTGGTGATTCTCAGAGCGAGACAGCGAGAAGAGATCAAGGGGGACGGCTAATGAAGACCTAATAAACGCGGGGTGCTGCTCGCACCCTTCCGGCCTGATATTTAATACAAACGTTACAATATCAAAACACGTCCTCTCGCACGCCGAATGCCCACTCGAGCGCACCCCTCACGCGCGCGGTTAGTACCGGCTTGCCTTAAAGGTGACGATGGTAGCTCCCTTCGGCTTGTACCCCTAAATACGAACCAACACGCGCGTACCCCAGAATCCGCGCTCGGTCTACGGAGAGGAGGATGAAGAGCCAACTGTAATTCCCCGGTGCTGTCGTGTTCGTGCATAATAGACAGCGGACGATTGCGAGTAAGAGAGAACGAGAGAGAGAGAGAGAGTGGGAACAGAAACTAGCCCTCTAAAGACGCGGCAGTTATTTGCGCGAGTTATTATCGCTCGTTAAGGAGCGGCATTCGAAGCGTTTAACAATTTACTCGCGTTCCCTGTCCGGGACGCGCACCGCCCTTCCTTTTCCATTTGTTTTCTTTAATTCACCACTCCGCTCTGCTTTTTGCCCGCCGATTTGCGCGCCGCGGCGGTATTATCGGAGGATTCCTGCGCGAGCGAGAATCTCCGGCCACTTTCGCCGCGCTTGCGTTCCTTACGCTCGGTTTGTGCGCGGATCTAGTAGGCAACCGGAAAGGCGAAACTCGCGAGAGCGAGAGAGAAAAGGACTGCGGGGAAAATGCGTTGTTTATAAAGAAAATACACCGTTAATTCGTGAATGACGGTGTTACACACTTTTCACGAGCGACGAGCGCAATCGAGGAGCAGTCTTTTTTTTCTCTCTCAGTCCCTCTTTCGAACGTGGAAGGCCCCATCGACAACGGGCGCGTAGACACACGCGAGAAATGGCTCGCGATTCTCGCGCGAGGCCCATTTTCGAAAGTCAATCGACCGTGAGCCCCCTTTTCGTCGATCGCGCGCACGCTCGTAAATCTCCCTTATAACCCTCCGGTTGTGTGTGCGCCAGCCGACGCGCCGAATTAGCGACGACGAGAAATTTTTGACAACCGACGGCGCACTCCTCCTCTCCAACGGACGTCGCTTCTCCTCGCGAGCGAAAGCTCGCGTTTGCAACATATTTTACCTCGCTCGGTGGCGATTTTTTTTTTCGAATCGACGCTTCCGAGCGAATTCGTAGTATCCGATGTTGCCTCGCTGCGTTGTACGTCCGTCCGTTAACAGATTCGGTGGATGGTTTCGCGCGTGAACGAAGAACTCGAATACTTTTCACGATACTGTTGAGTGCAAAATCATGAGGTCAGTCTTTTGTAACACAAAATGAGAGAGAAGAGAAAAAAGTGTGTCATTGTTAGTACATCTTGAATTAGCGAAGGTATTGTTAGGTGGTTGATTTACACACATCACGGAACGTGACACACATTTTTCTGGAGGAATCTGCTAACGCGTCTGGCGCTGGCACGTTCACCTATCTCTCTTCCTCTCTCTTTCCACAAATTCTACCTACCACCCCCTACCCTTCGTCGCAAGAAGACGCCGAGATTTCTACCCTGGAAAAATTAGGGCGTGGCGCGCTCGCCGCTATAGGTGTCAGCTTCGGGTGCAGCTTTTGCGCGCATAGTCGCATCCGTAGTCGCAGGAATATAAAATATCCGCGCTCGAGGAACACGACGGCACTCCGGCCCGGGCATTCCTCTCTCTCTCTCTCTCGCGTGTATGTGCCTGCCTTGCCACCGGCACAATGAGTCGAAGATTATCTACGATGGGATTCGCCGACGTTACGACGCTCGCGACCAACCCCCTGCGCTCGTCCTCCACCTCTCTGTCGCACCCTTCGTCGAGCGCGTGGAGTCGGGGAGGAAAGAAAGGAAGAACGAAGGAAAGAAGAAGCGAAAGAAAGAAAGCAAGCAAGAAAGAACGGACGAACCCGCCGTAGTCCTCTTCTCTCCTCTCGATTTCCAGCATGAGTTTGGGAGAAGGGGGAGGGGGGGGGCGGTCGCGGGGTGAAGCAGGGAAAATACATGATCTATGGCGACAGCGGTATTGTTCGTCGAAACGCGAAGAAGCCTCCGGAGGCGGCGAAGCGTTTGAATTTTTCACACCCCTTGGATGAGCGATCGAAGGACGAGGGGGAGGGAAGGGGAAGGATTATTTGTAACGTGTTATTGGTCCCTCAATTTGTTGCTGCCGGTCCTCGCGACGAGGTGGCCGTCGATAAAAGTGTGCGTGCGTCCTATGTGCCGTATTACACGTGGATTCTCGTGGTCGTTCGCAGGGCACAGCGGGGTAAACCAGCTGGGGGGTGTCTTCGTCGGCGGCCGGCCACTTCCGGACTCGACGCGGCAGAAGATCGTCGAGCTCGCGCACTCGGGCGCGCGACCCTGCGACATCTCCAGGATACTGCAGGTCAGCAACGGCTGCGTCTCGAAGATCCTCGGCAGGTTGGTTGCAGTACTGCTTGCTCCGTGTCGTGTGCACGCGCATTCCTCCGCGAGTCTCACCGTGTATCAAGTAAGCCAAAGTGCGATATTGTACCTCGCGATGAAGGAACCTGCGTGATTTCGCGAAAATCCGAACAGCGCGGATACAATATCGCGGATGGTATGCTTGATAAACACACCGTGGCTTGGCCGCGTCAGATTGACTCGAACGCATTCCTACAGTATTGTACCGCAAAATATTATTGTTGCAGGTACTATGAGACCGGATCCATAAGGCCGAGGGCGATCGGTGGCAGTAAACCGCGCGTAGCCACCGCGGAGGTCGTCAGCAAGATCTCGCTCTACAAGAGCGAGTGTCCGTCGATCTTCGCGTGGGAGATCCGAGATCGTCTGCTGCAGGAGGGTGTGTGCACGAACGACAACATCCCGAGTGTGAGTACCATCTGCATTTCTTTTCTTTCCCGAGACTTCCCTTGATCTCGTTCGAAAATTTCGCTTCGTTAAAAAAAAGAAAGGAGAGAGGACCCCCTCCGTGATTTCGTGATTATCGAAAATAACGCGACGGGATGTTCGCCCCGACCGATTACAGGCGGACATTAAGGGTGGCAGAAGTTCTCGTCGGAAGAATCGACGTCGCGGCGCGGCGGTGGCGACAATGCAAAGCGCGTCGCAAAACAGCCGTAATGGAGCCCGACTTTCGGACTCTCGCGGCAGCGGGGGTGGAGAAGAGAAGGTTGTTGTAAGCGCGCGCAGGCGTGTATTGTCAATGCGGAGGCTTTGTCTACTCACACAAAACAGGACCGCATTTACATAGATAGCGGCGCGGATAGTCGGTACGCAGCGAGGGCAGGAGGGGGATGGAAATCAGTTTTCCGTGGGGTTGGCGGCTGTACAGAGGATGTTTATGCGAGCCGATGGACTCGGGGGCGCAGCGACCAGGACGACGTAAACTCCACCCTCTTGTCGCGCGCTGATGTTGTTAACACGAGGCGGTTAATCGCGCAAACGAATGACGGACGATTTGGCGTTAACTGGTTCCGCCCTGGCGAGTTCCCCCAACACGCGCTCTCTTCCCGTCTCTCTCGCGGTCGTCGCGACGGGGTATCGCGTGCTTCATTAGAGTATCGCGGCTGCGATCATCGTGGTGTCCCGCGGCAAGAAAACGGCGATGTCTTCTTCCGCGACTTCGACCTTCAGCCTTGTGTTACTTGTTAGCTGTTGCATATGAACGTGGTTTGAGATACTCGAATATACTCTTCAGTTTCTCACGTGTCTTCACACGTCGCTCGTGTTTGGATATTTCCGTTGGAAAAAGGAGGAGTCTTAATCGAAGACTGGGTAGGTGCGAGAAGAGATACGCGAAGTCGCAAATGTGACAGAGCGATCCCTGCGGAATCAATTAAGAGATTGCTCGAGGACGACTGACGCGGATCAAAAGGAAATTCCCCGACGTCTCTCTCTCTCTCTCTCTGTTTTTTCTCTTCTCTGACCTGAAGAAGGACCTGTCCTCCTCCTTCTCCGCCCTTCTCGCGGTACGGTGTGTTCGGTGTTCTCGAGCCAGCGGGGTTGGTTGGTTCTACGCCGTTGCCATGGATATTTGCATGCGTCCAATAAACGGTGGCTAAGGGGCTCTCGACTCGCTTAGGGTAAAAAGCAAAAGAGGGTCGCTAAATTCTACCCTCCTTCCTTCCCTCCCTCCCTGCGTGCCCCGCGTCGCTCTGCGCCGCCCTTCTTCGCGTCTCTGCCGCGTCTCCTACTCGTCTTCCCTCGCCAAGGCACCCTCGCGCCTTCGTAATAGCGCCGAGGTGTACGCAGCGCGAGCCACCCTCGCGGAGAGAGTCGCGGAGGCAGGACGAAAAGGATGACGGGAGGATTCTTATCGACGCGGGAGAAAAATGTGTCAAAGACTGTTTCGCTCTTTTACTCGCGAGGAAGAGAGAAGATGGGGTTCACCCGCAACTTCTTTTTCTTTGTGTCTTGCCGCTCTTTCGACGTCCCGGAAATTTTAGTATCCACGTGGGTATCCGTGGGGACCGACCGGGGCGGATTCACTCCGGGGAGTAGTTCGCGTGCATCGCGCGACAATCTCCGACGTAGGTGCGCTTCTCCGTGATCTCGTATTCGAAATGCTGAAAATAACGTAAAGCGTCGAACCGCTGTCCGAATAACACGCGACATCGTGACAATCGGGAAGTTAATAATACGCTTGCACGAGTGATTTGGAACTTTCTCAAGTATGCTTTCGCTTATATCACCGTGCGAAATTCTACTTTCTTTTTCATCCTCCTTGCCATTTTTAACGCTTCGTTTAAACTGCCGTAGCTCTGGGATTTTTCAACAAAATAAAATCTCACGGACGATTTAAATTGCAACGCGGGTCGATGTATTTCGAAGACGTTGTCGCTACGTTGACGCTATTTACGTATTCATGGTAAGGAAATAATTTAACGTGAAATGACAGAGAGAACGCTCGAGCGAGTGTGCTATACGGCTGCGAGTCGTCAAAGGCGCCGCGTGACTTTTAGCATTTTAAGCGGTAACGAGGCGCCGACACAAACAGCGACGTCACAGAATTTCGCGTTTTAACAAATTACAGGAGCTTGCGGACTCGGAGCGCCTCCGGGGGTGTTGGAGGATCAAAGCCGGCGCGTAATCCCGGCCGCCGCGTCTGAGCATCCTGCGAGCGCTTCTGAACTTGTTGTGGGCAAGATTAACGTTTCTTTAATGGCCCGTGTAATATTCCATTACGTACAGTTCGCTCGGGAATTATTGCGCCAGCAAGTCGAGAGGTGCAGCATCGGACGAATCCGAGCCGTTGCAAACGATCAAAAGGAATTCTCGTCTCGCGATTGAAATCTCTCCGATACCTCGCCTCGCCCCTCTCGCAACTCCAAAAATGTATCGTCGTCGCGTCAGGATCAAATCGATATGTCAAGTTATTTGCGAATTATGTCACCCGAAAGATGTGAGTGTGACTCGTGAACATTTCTCAAAGAGATTCATCCCCGTCAATAGATCCGTAGATTTTAATTTTTACTGCGTTCGTGCCGCATAGTTATAGCGATTATCTATTATCGCGTGTATGCTCGTGGGAACGCGCTGAACTTTCGCGAGCGACGGTCAACGATTTTTGAAAATTTCTAATCTAGAATTCGCCTCTCAAGGCGCGCAATGCTCGAAGGTCTCTTTCTTTCGTCCTTCCTTTAATAGGGAGCGAAATAACTCGCGAACGGGATTGATTCGAAAACATTTCTACTCGTCTGCCCTGGTCTGCTTGTACGTGTCCATTCGTGTGCGACGGAGTGTGTGTGTGGTAGACAGTAGAAGAACTCGGTTCGAAGAAAAAGAGAGGAAAAATTGAGAGGAAGTGTGTGTGTGTGTGTGTGTGAGGGAGAGAGAGAATAAAAATGAGTAGAAAAGAGGGAAGGGGAGAGAGGGAGAGAAAGAAAGAGGGGGACGGAGAGAAGAAGGAGGTACGAACGGAACGAAGGAACGTATTCCAGGCGAGCCGTGGTGATTGGGGGAAATTTCATTATTCTCAGACATTACCCCCGTTATTGTAATGCCATCAAATTGGATACGCTTCGTACACCCTGCGGAACGGGCGGAATATCTCGGGGTCCCTTCCTCTTCTTCCTTCTCCGTCCGCTTCGCGAAGAAGACGCTCGAAGAACGATGCTCTGGTCCTGTTGCGACTCCTTTGCTTTGCTCTAACAGCTTTACCTCGGTATGTATTTATACTTCGTCCAATTTGGCTGAACAAAATCGGAGTAGGTATAAGCTTCGTATGTCACGCGCTTCGTCGCGTCGTCGATCTTCCGCCGATGTTTTCATGGAAATATCGGTCGCTCGAGTAAAACTCGCTCGACCGCAGTTTTATCTATTTTCACCGGCGATGTGAGAAACGTCGAGAGCGTGTATCGGTCGGATTAAGGAAAATTACGCGAGAGCAACAGTTTTGCGTGCGAACGGGCGACCGACCATTCGTCCTCTTTCGCGAAGTCGACGCGCGCGGAATTGCCGAATCGAGCCAATGGCTCGACAAACCAGTAAAGCCCGCAGGACGCGGAGACGGATTCGAAATGTCCTGCGGAGCCCCCGCTATCCGTTTCGTCGTGGAATACCGTTTCGGTCCCCGCCGGATTTGAATCTGGCACCCGGCGTGGCGGACGCGTTATTGGTTTACTCGCGCCACTGGCTCCGGGATGCCGACAGCGGCTCTCATTCGTCTGCCAAGGACCAGAAAAATTCAAACGGGCCGTTGGACGGACGTCATTTTTCCCGCTGATATTGCCGCCGAAGGAAGAATTATGTTATCCGGTGTTTCCCTCATCTCGTCAATTTGTAAGACGGTCTGTGTGATGGATACCCCCTTTTGAGAACTCCGCTAAACTAAAGTTTCGTGTTTCCACCGTGTTTCTAAGAATTATGTCAGCAGAAGGGTAAATTCACAATGACAGATTGTCAATGGCATTACGGAGCATGTTAGATTAGACTGGGTTAGGCTGGATCAGCGTGGATTAGACTGGAATACCACGAGATTACACGGTTCATCCGGTTCATCGGAACGTATGTTTTTAAAAGGCCGTAGATATGCTCGTTGTAACAGGAGCGTCACTGCGAAACGAGATTACATTCGTTGATTCGGCCAGCCGGACCGTGCGCGTCCATTCCGAGGGTTGACGTTGACATCTCACCACCATCGAGCCCTCCCCGAGAATCATACCGACGCGGATCTTTCTTACGACGTAAGAAATTGGTATCTCGTTAACTCGTTATTTAGCATCAGCTTGCGACCTAGCTCGCGGCCGAGCTCGTGTGGAAAATGAATTCCCCGTCGCTTGGAAAGCTACAATTTCTGCGTGCTTAAGTAAAATCACCGCGATAGAATGTGCCGCGAGACCGTTTTCGTATTCGCCCCTGTCGCAACGCGATTGTTTTCTTTTTTTCCCCTCCCAACAAATGCCGTTTAAATCGATCATCGATCGACAGTCGCGTTCGCCGAACAAGAGATTTCGGAGAATCCTTTTTTTTTTCGACAAGATCGGTCGTTACGGTAATACAATTCCACCGGAGGAAAAATGCCCGTCACTCTTGCGAATATAACGCGCTTTCTCTCTCTCTCTCTCTCTCTCTCTCTTTCGTCGCTGCGATTTCGATCCGCGGACTTAGAGCGGTTTTTTGGAAGCCGGCCTATTCAATTTATTCGGCGAGTTTTGTGCGAAAGTGCGTCTCGATTACAACATTCGTCATCCGCGGAGAACCCGCTGTCAAGCGAGAGGAGCGCCGCTGTGCGCCGACGAGATTACATTTGTCGAGGTGGCCAGCACCGTCGTTCCGGCTGGTTCCAGGCAGTCCGACCAGGGGGGAGGGGGTTAGGGGGAGGTTGGATGTCAATGCCGCACCACCACCACCACCACCGCCCAACCCTT